AGTGGCACTTGTAAAATCCAGTGGTACCCCAGATCACCCCTATCCATCTTCTGCTTCGTCGATCGCATTCCGTCTCATGTTTTCAAACTGTACTTATACTACTTATTAAGCGAACAAATAAAAGTCTTAAATTTTAGATTCACCAGCGAGATGACCACCAAAAGATGCAGCACTGGTCAAAGCAACTGGGGAAAACATATAGCTGGAGGCCACAGTATGATAATTGCGGTTACAGTAAAACTTCATGTAACTATCAAATGAATGCAAACCGTGCAACAATGATCGATGTTAAAATGAACAATCATCGGTCGAACATCGCTAGTCGACTCAAACAATGCTTTCAAATGTGCATAATCAATATCGGCTACTCCCAATGTATATACTTTACGAGATGTAACCAAAGTTTCGAGCTGTCGCCAAAATGGTAAAACATGCAAAAGCCACTGTTGCACCTGCTCTGGTTCCGATGAATTTGTATCCTGAATTAAAAATCAAAATAAAAAACAGACATCGGCATTCAATCGGCGCTTCGTTCTTTTACCATTTTTTTTTATCGATAATACAGTAATAAATTCTCCGTATTTTTTTCACAGGCACACTAAGCCAGTCCGCTAATTCGAATACATGGATTTCATATTTCTCAGCTGATGACCTGCCGCAAATTCTCATTTCCACCACCTTCGGCTCGTAACGTGTTATTCATTACAGTACAGACTCAAGCGCTCCGGACACTAACTAAAATATACCTTGTAAGATTCTTTGAAAATTGTAAGATTCTTTTTTTCATTTCTAATGGACACTTAAGTTTGCAGTGTGTATTTCATCTCTTAGCTGCAAACACAGAGAAGGAGAGAGCATCGGAGCAGAATGAGAACCATTTATATCCATATGCATGCCATTTATATACACATCAGTCCGCATGGCGAAAAACTGTGATGTGACAGCATCAGACTTTGTACTGTCTGATGCTATCATACTGCATAGTTTCTCGCCTTTTCGCACTTGTTTGTGACAGACACCTCTCACTAATGCGCAACGCCCGCTGCGTGCTGTGTGCTCTGTCCATCAGATTTTACTTTCTTGCGTGGAAAAAATACACAGTTTCGTAGAAATTTGAAAACATTTACCAGATGCTCACAGGCCGGAAAAGCAATGAGTAGCTGTGCAATAGATTTCACATCGAGTAGTTTTAAAGCATAATCAACACTTGCTTCAACCTGTTTCGCGTCCAGTGCCGACATAAATATCTACAAAATCCTGACAAATCGATCTTCGCCTTCTTTCGATCCTCGAAAAAAGCAGGCTAATAGAAAAAGAGAGCAGAACAACTTTTGGTATTTGACACGAGGGCCTAAACAAAAATGAACCTCGCAAAAGAGCCAGAATAAAAATGAACTCCAAAAATGTTC